AAAATTGTCATCGATTGGACAAACACCGTCAAGTTCCCAATAAGAAAGTAATTTCCACACCGTTGCTTGAAGTAAAAAAGAACTAATTGTGCAATTACCAAACTAGCCCCGGGGGCTAGAGGATCATCATTTGAGAAAAAGTCCTTCCAAACTCACCTCCTGGATGAACCTAACTCAAGACCTTCCAGATGTGGAGAATCTTAAGTGTGTGATACTATCTACTTAAATTGCTTACACTTGTGTTGAAGTCTCAAACGAAAATAATGATGTAATAAAATGTTATACTAAGATCTTGAGCTATTCCTCCTACACGCTGAGCTGTTTTCAGTGTGACCAAACTGTTAAACAGAAAAGATAACTCTTCACGAAGCCACACCTTGTATCACTTTTGAGGTGAGGTTTCTAATTTGTGACGGAACTACCACGATGCATGCTTTCATGCATGTCTCACCTTTATTATTGATACCGTTGAAGTTTATTTCTCATCCCAAAGGCCCAACATGTAATCATCGAGAGTGATCGATTCAATATAGAGAGATTAAATGGATGACTTACAAAGTGGAGGGATATGTGGCCCTTTTTGCTTACAATACACTCCCGAACGAGAAAAGTCAAGAGATTATATTCTACTTGGTGTGACATTGCCCGACCTGAGAGTAAAGTGCTAGGAGACATCAATGTCGATTTACATCTATCTCTACTATAATAAATACGAGGGTATTTATATTGATGAGCCGGTATGGGCACGTATGACGTGTCATCCTCCAATTTGAGATTTCCCATCATCCACTTGCTGGCTCGTCATTGTAGTTGATGAGTGGGACTGCCACTCCTCGAGTCCTCGCATTAAATGTGTTTCCCGCAAGGGCATTTGTTTCCAGTCATTATTGTTAATGTCCGTCCTGTTACGACTGCGTTTAGGCCAATCACTTGATATAGTTTGAGCATCCCGAATGCACTGCTACTTATGTAGTTTATACTGGTTGCACCATGAATCCGTGATGTGGTGCTCTGACCTTGTCAGGCCAACGCTTGTCTTCAACCATGCTCACCCCCTTTTAAAATCCTACTAAGTCCTAATCCAAAAAAAGAATCCAAAGTTTTGAGAATGTCTTAAATACACCTGACTTATTTAAACTAATTAAGGACACATTTACTTCATCGGTTACTAAACGGTGTTTATTAAGACTTGCGTTGATAAGCGGCACACAAAATAAGTAGTGCTATAAGCTCATGTTTACTTCACAGGGTTTAAAACACCGTTTAACATTAAAATGTCCAAAATAGCACTATACATATACAGACACACAAACATTCATGTACACAAGTATATAATATAATACTTGGAGGCCACCCTGTACGCGTACCCATACCCCTAACCCCTACATCCTACCCCCTTTCCTACCTTACACCTTTTCATGAGTTGCGAGTCCCGGCCTGTGGGATGAACTCCGACACACTCTTACCTTGAAGATAAATGCCATTGACCTAGCGGACCCACAGGGTATCCTTCTTTTTGTGTACGTCCCATAGCGTGCGAGTGAGGAGACTATCATTCAAGGTCTTAGACATATGTCGTCCCAAGCAACTTTCGCAAACTTTCCTCCCCACAAGAAAATTCTACAAATTGAGACTATCCTATCCAAAATGATTAGAGGAACCGGAAAAATTTGGAGCCAAAACGATTGGACCCCTTGGATCACCGATCGTATTAGCTCGATTTTCCCGGCACATGAAAGAGTCTTCGTATTCCATGCTTTCAAAAAATCATTGACTATATCAAGTAGGGGCGCATATTTCGCCACCGAGATCTCAAGAGGGGCAAGCGGTATTCCAAGGTACCTTACCGGGAATGTCCCTTGCCCATAGTCAACCATGTCCAATATATTTTGTAGTTCAACATCTCTCACCCCCCAACGAAAATCTTAGAATTTTCGCGATTCACCCTAAGGCCTGATGCCCAACGAAGAGCATTGCAGATGGAAGTTAAAATTATTCCCTTTGTCCCTCATGGTGAGTAACCGGAAAAAATATTCAAGGCACAAAACGAATAGTAATGGGGACATTGGATCCCCTTGTCGTATGCCTCTTTTGCCTTAAAAAGAATCCAAACAACGATCCATTCAAGGAAACCGAGAAAGGACACACATTCCATAATCCAGGGAATAAAACGGGAAGGGAAGCCCAAACCCTCAAGGACTTTTTCGAGAAAGCCCCATGAAATCGTGTCATAAGCCTTTCGCAAATCCACCACAATCATGCATCTTGGTGAGATTCGCTTCATATTGTATCCTCTAACAAGTTCCTGGGCAAGGAAAATGTTATCAAACATTAGGCGGCCATCTAAAAACGCTCCTTGGGCTTGGTTAACCAACCCCGAGAGGCATGGGGTTAATCTAGCCACAATAATCTTGGTAATAATTTTGTATAAAATATTCGTGCAAGATATGAGTCTATAGTCCAAAACTTTGGGGGAGTGATTAGTCTTAGGGATAAGTGAAATAGCAGTATGGTTGTTCTGTTTGAGAAACTTTCCCGACATAAAAAACTCCTCCGTTGCTTGGACTATATCATCCCCAACAACATTCCAATTCGCCTTAAAGAAGGCCGAGGTAAACCCATCCGGCCCCAGTGCCTTATCATCTCCAATATCAAATAGGGCATCCTTAATTTCCTTACATGTTATTGGAGCAAGTAGGCTATCATGAACACTTGGTTCAATCAAGGGGACGGTGCCTAGGACCAACGGGTCGAGGCCAAGGTTTACCGAGCTAGTTTAAAACAAATCCACAAAAAAATTTACAAACTCATCTCCCACTTGGTCTAAGAAGTGGTGAGGCTACCATCATCAATAGTTAAGGAAGATATAGCATTCCGGGTGGTGTTCATCTTGTGCCCTTGTCCGCCTCAAGAATGTGTGTGGCTTTGGTTTTTGTTGGTAGAAGCTAGTCTCGGCCTCCGTAAGAAATGTAGCACATTTCCTAGCCTCCGTCACTTGTAATTTAAGTCCATCGTCAAGAGGTGAATCAAGCCACAATTTGTTCAGTCTTTTAAACTCCTCCTTAGCTCGCTTAGCTTTCAAGGATATGTGCCCGTACTCCATCGTGTTGAGGTTCTTCAGTGGCCTTTTGAGCCTCTTAAGTTTCCTCACAATTGAGTATTGAGCTGTACCCTGAACATACTGATTCCAACTCTGTGAAACTAAATTATTAAAGTCATTGTGCTTTATCCACATATTAAAAAATTTAAACGGTTTCGGCCTAATTGAGGAATTATTGAGTATTGATACAACAAAAGCCGTATGATCAAACTCAACCTCCATTTCTTGAAAATGGGCCTTACAACTAATATCAAGTTGCCCCCAAACTAGGGGTGGGATCGGAATGATCCCGATCCCGATTGCCCAAATCCCGATCCCGTCCCGATCCCGATTTAAACTACAAGAGGATCCCGTATCCCGTACCGATTAAGTCGGGATCCCGCTTAATCCCGACAATGAAGTATCAAACATAAAATTATGTAATTTCTTTAGTTAAACACTAACTTTGATATTTAGTGGTTTCAAGATTATTCTTTGTTCATTGTTCTACCACATTTATCATCATCTACTTATAAAATTTATTGTAATAATTATCATCTCAAATTCACACTAGTACATACTTTTAGAATAACTTTTATTTGTAACTTCAATTAATTAATAGTATAATTTTTGAATAAGCTATTAAGGCTTAGTGAAACTTACTTCAAACAATTGTATAAAAACCACTAAAAGAGGGATGTGTAACATATATTATTTAAAATTCAAAACTAAGTAGACTCATTGAGAAACTTTGTGACCAATGAATATAATGTATAAATACATATTATGATTATTTACTAAAGAAAGAAATCTTAGTCTCAATCATGATTTTTTAAAGAGTTCATCAGAATCGCAAAATTTGTAATATTGTTGTGATTTAGATTGTCGGGATCAAGAATAATCTCTATTTAGTTAGGATCCCGAATATTCATTTTCGGACAAATGCCGAATAGTTTTAGAATTTTGATATTGTAAGATACTCGTAGTAAAAGATTAATCTATGTAAGGAATAAGTAATTAATAAAGATATGCAAATATTTAGATACATATTCATTTTTTATAAATGTATATTCATTTTTTTTATATATTCATATATAATTATATACATGTATATATATATGTGTATATATATATATATATATATATATTTCTATTTATATATATAATGTCGGGATGTCGAGATTTTCCCCGATCCCGACTTTTTTTAAAAAAAATCCCGGTCCCGTCCTGACTTAGTCGGGATCGGGAAAAATTCTCGACTAGTCGTGATCGGGATTGTCGGGATCGGGAGTCGGGAGTTTTTTCCCAGCCCAACCCCAAACATCATTTAAAAGAACCCTATCAAGTTTTGCCCTAAGGACACCCCTACTCCACGTGAAAAATTCGCCGGTGGCAGGGGCATCTTCAAGACAAGCTCTAACTTTGAAATCAAATAAATCCTTCATCATATAGGCCGTGGGTGGGCTCGGCCCAACCCTTACATTTGGAGCGCATATACAGTTAAAGTATTCGTTGCAGTTACTGTAGTTACTTTTTGGTTGTATTCGCTGCAGTTACTGTAGATGACTATTTTTGTTAATTTTCATATAATTTTTTCGCTTTATTTTATTAATAAAATGTATTTCAAATATAATTTTTTCATAATTGAACAAAATCATCCAATACAGTCACTTTAGCTAGAACTTCATAAATTTCAAATCAGCCGATTTCAGTGTTACCAAATGTGCTCCAAATCCGCCTATTATTCTAATATAGTGCATTTAAGCATTTTCATTTTCTTACAGCTTATTTAGTGTTATGAGAATCACTAAAACTAAATAATGTACGAAGTATCAAATGATCAAAGCACAGCTTAAAATGTGTAATGTTTTCAAGAGTAATAGTATCAATCCCAAAAATTTTAGTCATCCAATCAAAATGAATGAATTCCAAGATGAAAATCCTTCCCCAATTACGAATCAATACACCACCAACTAATTCATTTCATCAGCAGCCGACTTATGACAAAGAACTTCGAATATAAATATCACTCTCATTAGATGCTTAAACTCCAAGCAATAATCTTCTCCATAAACCCTAAACACTCCTCTAAACCCACAGTGCGCACGTAGTCCAATAGTTGTATTAGTGAGAAGAAAAGAGTTATGGCGATAATCACATTCCCTGCTTCCTCTGTTGCTGCCCTGCCTCTCAAGTCTGCCACGAAGAAGCTCGCTAACGGCTCACATCCGGTCTTCGGAATGCTTCGTCCCCGCCGAGTCTTCGCCCGAAGATCGCTGCCGGGAAAAATGATCACTCCGGTGAAGAAACCGTCGAGACATGTTATCTCTTCCACCCGCTTTGCCTCGATTTCGTTCTCGGGGGACTGCTGTAACGAATTCGACTCCGATTGCGAGAGTTCTTGTTCTTCCACGGCCTCTAATCCTCGCCCTGAAGAAGATGATGATACTGGAAAGAAGGACGTCCCAATGTGGATGATTGTACCTAAATCCTCCACTAGTTTTGTTCTCGTCAGAATTCAGAATTAATTTCTTGGTTGTAATTAAAGTTCTAAATTCTTACACCTGAGTTCAGGATCGCCGATGTTTGAATTTCGGTTTTAATTTAGATTACCCAACCTGAATACGTTTGTACAGAACCCGATTTATGTTTGACAATTCATTATTTGAAAACTTTCTGTTCATTTAATCACTTATACTCTTAGTTAGTTTTCATTATCAATAATTATTTGGAGAAGATATTCTTAGCCGTTATTGTCATTCCTTTACAATTTATAATAGTTATGAATAAAGGGCAAGGCCATTTAGGTATAATACGAACTATAATAAAGGTAATGCTAACATAGTAGTTGCTGTGTAAACTCGCTAAGAAAGCTTTTCCGGTTTACCTAAAAGTTAAAATGTTATCTTAACCTATCTTAATAAAGGACACATATTCTATTAAATGCTTGATTTTGTTTTAACCCTCCTAGGACATTGCTTTATCTTGATGTACACTGTGCTACTATTGATGTACGCTGACTATTATGAATAAGTAGACGTTTAACGATCGTTACTTGATTAACGGTGTCAAAACTACCGTGACTACTTCTTTTCACTACACATTTTGCTTCGTTTTTCCCTGCATACTGTATATTAATCCAAACTTAAATTGTCATATAACACAGCTTAACAAATAAATAAATAAATAAATCGGTAACTATTTGAGTAAATACTTGGACTTAGACACAGATTAACATACGGAGTACTGTTTTGCATTACTGAATCCCCTTAGATCCATTTCAATCGATTGAACACCATCAAACACAACTATATCTCAATATTTGTCAATTTAATATATGTCATGGTATATAGCTCATAAAACTAACATTTCATGGATATTTATGTTGAACACATTTTACACAATTCATTGAAATTGAGAGTTGGGCATATTACATTCGCGCAACGCGCGATCAATTTTCTAGTTACCTAATATGAACCGGATGAATAAGTAATTAAAGTTACGATGTTTATTTAGTGAAATCAATGATTCTTCCAATGGTAGTAATTTCCGGTGATAAATTTAACACCGTGTATTTCTACTCAGTTCAGCCTCCGTGTGTGTATATCACTTCTCGCTTGGATAGTTTTTTTGGGTTGTGAATAAGGTGGGCATGCTTTCGGAAACTGACCCGACTGTACCAGAACCAGCCGGGTCAAGAATGAGACCGGTTGCTTGAATTTCCCGTCCCGGATTGGAACCGATTTTTAGGATGTTTTCTTTTGGACTGAAATTTGCTGGTCTGGTCTGGTCTATTTAAATCTGGTCTGGTCTGGTAAACGTCTGATCTCTTTGTATTTTATAACTATCCAGGTTTGGTCTGTTTAAGTCTGGTCTGGTCTGATCTGGTCTGATCTGGTATGGGATTGAAAACAGTCCAAAAGAAAACATCCTTATTTGGCCTAATTTCATTATTCTTACGGAGTATTTTTTAATATGCTAAAATTGAAAAAGGTTTCGGTGATTAAGATTCTGATTCTTCCCTATCATAACTGGCTCGTACGGAGTAAGTTTGAATCTAACCTGGGCCCACCTCTATTTGGGCAGTACTCGTAGAGTAAATGACAGAAAAGAGCATGTTCTTGCAGGTGTTTCCAAAAGGTGTACGTTTGACTGAATTATTGGTTGAAAAGGTGTAACATATTTGGCAAATATGTTCAACATTTGCAAAAAGAAAAAAATATGTACCTGAACATATTTGCCAAATATGTCAGTCTTCCTATTGGTCAAGAGTATTAGGCGCGGATCGCCATCGTGGATCGTGAAGTGAAGGGCTTGGATCGGCTTTTACTGAAGCACATTTGGTGAATCCACACGCATTAAATTAATATATGTCCAACATATTTGGCAAATATGTCAGTATTCCTATTGTTCAAAAGTATTAGGCGCGGATTGCCATCCTGGATCGCGAAGTGAAGGACTTGGATCGGCTTTTATTGAAGCACATTTGGTGAATCCAGACGAATTAAATTGATATATGTCCAACATATTTGCCAAATATGTCAGTCTTCCTATTGGTCAGAATAAGTTGGCTCGGATTGCCAATTACTCCAACATATTTGGCAAATATGATCTATAAAATCCACCACAAATCTCACTTCACAACACATCTAACCGTTCCAATTTCCCTTCTTCTCCAAATCTTTCCTATTTCGGTGTAGAAATTAGTCTATAATTTGTGTTAATTAACAAAATATTAGTGTATTAGTATTAGTCTATAGTTAACGAAATATGTTGTTGTTTAATTGGGTGTATTTATTTGTATTACAAATTGTATTATAATTAGTGTTGTTTAATTAGATATATAATTTCTTTTATAAATAGTGTTGTTTAATTACATTTGTAAATAGGTACGGAGTATTACAAATTGTATTATAATAGTGTTGTTTCATTACATATATAATTCGTATTACAAATAAAGGTGTTTATTAGAAATTAATTTAATATATTATTAGGTTTTCATGGCTACACAGAGAGAACACCCCCACCCCGGGCCCATAAAACGTTCTGTATTAGTGATGACACCTGGAGAACATCGTGCTGATAATGTGTGGAAAATTGAAGCGCTGAGAGACTTGAAACTGAGGTGCATTACTTACTCGAAATCTGCCAAGGACGATGACGAACGTCATCCTAGGGTCGTAGAACTGCTGAGGGCATCAGGCTTTCACGGAGCTGAACGATTAGTAAAAATCAAAATTGATTGGGGTCTTATCACCGCATTGGTTGAGAGGTGGAGACCAGAAACACATGCTTTCCATTTACCTTTTGGCAAGGTAGGCATTACCTTGCAAGATGTGCAGGTGCTGATGGGGTTACCGATTGACGGTCTCCCACTTACTGAGCCCCCATCCACAGTTGGTAGTTCCTATCACACGCATGAAGTTCCCGAGCATCAACAGTGGCCTAATTTTAGTCGGGCTGAGATATTTGGCAATGATCACCTCAGTGGAGCGACCGGCGGTGCAGGGCCGAGCTCACAATATTAGTTTATAATATTTATATTATCGTAATAGTATTAACATTAATGTAATAATATCTTTGTGTGATGTAGTATTATAATATTGCCATAATATTCATATTAGTGTAATAATATCCCTCCGTCATGTAATAAAATTAGTTTAATATTTTTTTTGAAGCAACCATATTACTTTGATAATAAATATGTGAGTAATAATTTTTGTGCAACTCTTCTACTCTAATTACTTTAACCATCCACAACTACTCCATTAATGTCAACTACCACATCCACCTCACCTAACTATTATACTATAAATAGGGAGCTCCACCACACTCATTTTCACCACTCTCAAACAAACTTCTTTCTCTCTTCGATTATTTCTACAAAGTATTAGTATAACATGTCTAGTGAGGGTAGCATAGTTGTTCTTGTGCATTGGAATGGGGTGTTGACCGAAAATAATAATGAAGTCAATTACTCTAGGTATCCAAATGCTGCACTTTTTTGAGTGATCATACTACATATGCAACACCATGTGAGAGCATTATGCAAGAAATGTCCCGTGATGGTTGATATGATATGAACCATTCATGGAAAATTTCCCACATATAATTCTGAGGGAATATGTGTTGCCTCTATGCCGTGGCCTATCCATGACGACGGCATAACGCATAAATTATTGGCAAGCAAAGTGTGTTTATGAGGAGGATTGTGCGTGGCATATTCAAGCATCACAAATCAAACACACCACACAGTGAAAAGTCAAGCACTATCAACCGCAACACGGTTGCATTCCCAACTACGCACGAGGTAAGAACGATAAACTCTCACGAGTAAGTTAATTGCCTCTGAAATAGGGCCCAGGATTTTTGTGAAGCCCGATTATAGTGCAAAGCTCATCATAAGTGACATACACCGCAAGTTCAACATCCATGTGGGTTACAAAAAAAGCATGGTATGCTCGAATCTTGGCACTGGAGAAACGATTTGGCAATTGGGAGGCAGCGTACAATGATCTCCCAAAACTTCTACAAGGTATGTCATTTAGTAATCTGGGCACCATTGTCAACCTAAGAACAGACCAAACCGGTACACAAGGTACACATGAATTTAAGTACGCATTTTGGTCAATCAAAGCAGCGATTGACGGTTTCAATCACTGTCTTCCGGTCATTTCCATTGATGGTACACATTTGTACAGTAAATACAAAGGCACTTTGTTGGTCGCGATGACAATGAATGCTAACCGTGAAATCTTTCCTCTAGCTTTTGGGGTGGTTGATAGTGAAAACGGGGATAGTTGGACGTGGTTTTTACAGTTAGTTACGACAAATTAAATAGTATTCGTCCCTATCGGAATGTTTGTCGGTTCGGTTTTGAAGGGTAAAAACCAAAACCGAACCAAATAATTACGGTTCGGTTCGGTTTTTTACATTCGGTTTCGGTTTTTAGCGGTTCGGTCTTATTTGGTCGCGGTTCGGTTTAGTTTGATTCGGTTTTCGGTTTTCGGTTTTTCGGACCCAGCCCTACCTAAAAGGATGTAGAACGCTTCCAATTACAGCACTTGTGAGAGCAACTTTCGATAAATCTGTTCAACTCTTTATAGAACGACGTAATGCTGGTATGATGTGAAATCAAAGTGGATATCAATTTCCGAAAAAAATTCGGAAGCAGATTATGGATCGATGGCAACAAAGGCGTCACACTGTTGTAATCCCGCACAATTATCATAGTGGAGTTTTCCCAGTAGCCATAGAAATGCAACTCCGGTTTCGGTAGACTTTTCAAGGAGCGACTGTGACTGCGGCTGGTGGAGGATGAACTGGATGCCATGCAGCGCCGTGCATGCTGTGTGTCACTTCCTCAACCGCCCTGTCGATCAACTTATTCCGAAGGTATATAAACTGAGCTCTTACATTAATGCACATGCGGGTGATATTATGCCTTTACCAAATATGAATGAGTGGCCGGATATTGGGATCCATCTTTTACCACCGAAATATTTATCACGAACTTCTCGAGTGGTGCGTCGTCAAGAAACAAGGTTTCAAAATGAGATGGATATGCGTCCAAGCAGAAGAAGAGGACAACAATGATTTCATGTATTTTTTATATTTTAGCGTTTTTAGTAATTTATTATGAAAGAATTGTACTTTTTAAGTTTTTAATAACAAGTTGTTTCTTATCATTTCAATAAATATTTCAATTCAGAATATTTAAATTTTCATTTCGGTAGATAGTACCGTATAATTGTTTTTGAAATATTTGATGAGGTAAATAAAGCATTGTACTGTTTAAGAATGTAAATACAGGAACATATTAACCGAATCTGTTCAAACCTTTTTGTAATCGAAAATTGTTTAACATATTCACCAAATACGTTGCTTGATTTCTTCTTCTTCTTTTTTTATTTAAAATTGTACATCATATTCACTAAATATGTTGCTTGATTTCTTCTTTTTTATCGAAAATTGTTGAACATATTCGCCAAATACGTTCCCTAATTACTTTTTCTTAAGAGAAATTATTGAACATATTCACCAAATATGTTCAACCTTTGGAATGGTCTGCAGACAGGAATCTACACCGTACTCGTAAGTCGTAAGTCAAACCGATTAATGAGAGATTGAGAGGGCTTTGATAGAGGTACACAAAATGTGTACACATGTATGTCCTTCACAGATAAGTTGTCTGTCACAAACAATTTATAATAAGTTGTCTATGACAGACAATTTATTTGTGAAAGACAGACATGTGAACACAAAATGTGTACCTTAAGCATTTTTCTTAATCAAATGATCATTTGCATTGAAGTCTCATCTATTTGTGAGTAACAACAACACATTCTGTCCCATTTTATAATGCTTGCCTTTTGTGTTTTGCAAATTATGTATTGTTCATTAAAATTTCATCCATGTCTCTCTCTTTTTCAAATTATCATTTCTTGTTTAAGATTTAAACTTGTTTGGAGTGTAGTCCCTATGTTCCAATTTGATGGTCTCATTTCTTTTGGACACAAATTTTAACAAAGTGGTTGAAAAGTTAAAAGTTGTGGTTGAGATTTGAGTAGAAAAAGGTGAAATGATGTGGACAACATCTTTCTTTCTAAAAAGGGAAACAGGACCATCATTTTGGAACATCCCAAAAAGGAAATACGGGGCCATCATTTTGGGACGGAGGGAGTATATAGTAGGATGGGAAATGTGCATCGATCATAATCAAGAACTCAACACAACTACTACTCAAGCTTTACTACTAATCATCTTCGACACTAAATTGTATCGTCCATTGATCATAATTATTGATTATGTTACATTTTGATATTTTGACTCTTAAACGAAACATATTAAATATTTAACTATACATAAAATTTTCAACCGTATATAATATTCAAATTTTCGGCAAAAATACTCGAATGAAGGCCCGAATTTCACTTATACAATGCACCTTAAATTACTTTTATTTATGTCATCAATAATTATTCCTTCAAAAGCTGAAAAAGAAGTGGGTAAGGGGATAGAGGGTTCAAATATATAAAAGTAAATGAAAATCGAGACCGAAGCTAAATCGATTCGGAGACCAAAGTGGGAAATATAAGGAGTGGTTGGGGTTGCTTAAAAAAAGCGTTTTTCAGCTTTTGGCTTAAAAAAGTTGAAAAAAGTGTTTTCAAATGACAGCTTCTGCTTAAATTAATCACTTAAAAGCTAAAAGCTGGAAGCAGGTAGAAGGGTGCTTTAAACTGCTTCTCATTTTTTCTATTACACAAAAAGTACTTATTTTACCAAACACTACTAACTTTTACTTTTTCAGAATCACTTTTTTCTCAAACACTACCAACTTTTACTATTAATCACTTTTCCAAAATCACTTTAAAAAATCACTTTTTTAAAGTTGAAGCAATTTTGTCAGAGTATTTCTGGCCGACGGAGGACCCATTTCGCTCCTGGGCCTCCGAGCTATATTCTGAGTATCTTTAGTCCTGGGCGATGGAGTGCCATCTGACCGACGGAGTGCCGGGTGGGTGTCAGTCTTCCGCGTTTGATCCTCTTGAGTATGTGGGTCACGGGGTCTGGGCCCCTATACTCTATCATACGTCTTCCTTTGGATCACTTCATCGAGCAAAGGTGTAAATAACAAACTTTAGCTTCAACCTGAAATGGTGGGCCCCAACTTGATTATTTGTGTTATTAGCTTCAACTTGATTACAATGAAGCTATCTTCAACTCAATAAATTTTATTTCTCAATAACTGCGTCCAATCAAATTTCAAGTAAAAATTTTGGAGGGAAAGACTAGCAAGCCACAAATAACACTTTGTAATTATACATGTAATGTGATTTACTAAAACTAACACTCTAATCAGGGGCGAAGTCAGGGCACTAGATTAGTACAAATAACATTTTCAAAAACAAATTATACTGAATTATTTCCATTAAAAATTAAATCATTTTTTAAATTTGAGGTAAGACAGGACCTAGACTTCTCCTCCTCTAAGAGCGCGTTTGGTGATTCTGTTTTTCAGCATTATCAGACATTTTTTTAACCAAACACATAATTGTTGGTTTCGCATGCTGAATTATGTAATAATAATAAAAAGAAAAAGTAAACTTGAAGTTACTTTTCTTATTGGCTGAAATTACTCTTTTTTTTTGTAAAAAAATTCATTTTTTTGAATTAAAAATTTATTGATGAAACTAGAAGTGAAGTAAAAGATGGGGGACTAGGTCTTACCCAAAGAAAGACTGGAAGAGCAAATAATTGTAATCGAAAAAGCCCATGCCACATACGGAGATTAAAACAACAAATTCTAACAGGGACAACCCAAATTCCCAAAGTCCAAACAGCATTCGGTCGTCACCCAAAAGCCTGCTGCTCAACTGCCCTGTGAACCGGGTCTTGTGGCAGTATACAATAATTCAGAAAAGGGGAAATAGGTCCCCAGGCTGGCAATGTACAAAAACTGTAGTGCACAAGATGCTGAAACCTAAAAGTAGGTGGGCCGCCCCTTGCTGTCCCGGCCCCCCGCTATTCCGTAGAAGATTCCCAGTCGCAAGTCGTTCCCCGGCTCTCCTGGTGGCCGCCTGGCCGGTGCTGATTGCTGAAGACGAAAGGTACCCCGGACTTCACCTCTATCGACGGTCGTAGTCCCTATTCGTTCATCTGGTGGCCATTAAATTATGTGATGACACCTTCTTCTCCGGCATACTGAACCAAAGAAGAGTCGCCTTAAGCCAATGAACCATGGCCGCACTGCCAATCCCCTGAAACCTTTCTCCAGGAGGTCGTACCCTGTGAAGATGCTGTTGGTTGTGAACCCCATCTTGACCAGTTCCTAGCCCCATCTTGGACCCCTGGTCATCTAACATCGCGGATTGCCGGAGGTCTCCAATCCTTCAATCCGTCGCCAAGACCCGATCGCCGTCGAATATTGCCTTGAAACATATGACAAATCCTTGTTCGTCGCTCCCCTGTAGTCCATCTCCACCTTGGAGTCTTACAAAAGATCCTTCACATGACCAAAATGAAATCCGCCCTTCGACTCCGGCTAAATCACCCATTTCCTTGATGTTCACCCCCGATACCCGTAAATAGCCCAGAAAATAATGAGATCGAAAATGATAATGAAAAAGATCCTCCGGCGGACTCGCCGGCGATGTCGCCGGTAGAGCCGCCAGAAATATCTCCTCCTTTCTTCCTCTCTCTATCCAAGTGAGTTTGGCTGAAATTACTCTAGATTCTAGATGACCATTTTATCTATTTTTCATATAGTATTGTTCTTCATTTTATCAATAAAATATATTATAAATATAACTTTTTCATAAATCAACAGAATTAGCCAACACAACTACTTTAGCCAGAACTTCATAAATTTCAGTAGAATCAACTGATTTCAGTGTTACCAAATGGGCTCTAAATCTTCCTATCATTCTAATATAGTGCATATAAGCATTTTCAATTTTTTACAACCTATTTAGTGTTATGAGAATCACTAAAACTAAATAATGTACGAAGTATCAAATGATAAAATACAGTTTAAAATTTGTAATGTTTTCAAGAAGAGGAAAGTGTCAATTGAGTACAACAACTTGTATGAGGTGGAATAAAGAGTACATTATATTGTATTTGATATTTTTAAGTACAAAATTTCTTTAGTGTTGATTTAGTACACTTGTTAGATTAACATGTTAATACAGCTGAGTTGGCTTATGGAATGTTGAATAAGAAGGGTTAATAGATCAAGGTTATGGCGCCGACCTTCACGGAGTTGACCAAAAAGGGTAAATCGACATTTTGAGGTCGACCTGCGGGGGCGTGAGCCAACAGGGGTGCATGAGTGCATCGACCAAGGAGAAGTCGACCTGTGGGGGACTGACGTCGATCAAGGGGAAGTCAATTAAGTGGTTGTGGGCTAGCGTCGACCTTCAAGAAGTCGACCTATTAGCATTCTGTAAGCCAACTCAGCCGTATTAACGTGTTAATCTAACGGATGTACTCAATTAACACTAAAAACCCGAATTTGTGTACTTAAAAAGATCAAATGCAATATGGTGTACTCTTTACTCCACCTCATACAAGTTATGTACTCAATTAACCCTTACCTCTTTTCAAGAGTAATAGTATCAATCCCAAAAATTTTAGTCATCCAATCAAAATGAATGAATCCCAAGATGAAAATCGGTAAATTACATCCTACAGCCGGCTGTACCGTGCGCACGGTACAACCGGCCTTTTTTTTTTTTGGCTTTTGCGCTTCTTCCCCTCCACCAGATCCGGCTTCGCACCAAAGATTCTCACATGCTTCTTCGTTGAACACCGCTTCGTAGCCCTAAATTGATCCGTAGCGTGGCTCTGAATCGAGCGGAGAAAGATTGCTGAGAGGAGAACGATCGGCTTCACACCGGAAGATTTTCACTGAGATTTAATACTCTCAGCAAAATATTAAATTCCACTAAAGTTAAAACCATTCACAAAACCCTTCTTACCTCATTATCACTCTCCACCGCACAAGCTGACATCCGTTTTGCAATTACAAGGTCCAACTACAACCATCCTGACATCCACAAACCCATTATGACAATTTTATATTGATGTTAAATATGGTATATATGATATTATAAAAATGAGTTTTATATTAAACCCAAATGAGTATAATGTCTTAAAAGAATGAGTTTTTATGTTAAACTCAAATGAGTGTTGCGCCCAAAATGAATGAGCATACACAAATGAGCTTTTGAATTTTTTAATACTCATTTTGTAAGTTATGTATGCTCATTTGGATTCGCTTTATACTCATTTTAAGAGGTTGCACATTTCAAACATATCATACTACATTAGAAATGAGTTTTATGTTAAATTCGAATGAGTATAGCGTCCAAAATGAATGAGCACATACAAATGCGTTTTTGATTATTTTGATACTCATTTTGCAAGTTATGTGTGCTCATTTGGTATACTGTTTTATGTTCATTTTAAAAGGTTGCACATTTCAAACATATGATACTACATTAGAAATGAGTTTTATGTTAAATTAAAATGAATATAACGTTCAAAATGAATGAGCACACACAAATGCGTTTTTGATTTTTTTATAACTCATTTTGTAAGTTATGTGTGCTCATTTAGTACTGCGCTATACTCATTTTAAAAGGTTGCACATTTCAAACTTATCATACTACACTGGATTCACATATTGAAATTAATTGGAATTGATTATAGACATAACTTAAGACTTTTTAATAAACGAAAAAAATAATAAACAGAAAGTGATTTATAAGGTATAAAGCAAAGATCACTGATGTTCATCGTTAGGCTCCTAATACTCAAAAGAACAGACTTGATGCTCATCAAAATTGCACAAATGCTCATTCGAGAGAATCCACGATTTTCACAAAAATTACAAGTTTGCCACGGCTGTAGTGTACGAATTCATGAAAATCCTTCCCCAATTACGGATCAATAAACCACCAACTAATTCATTTCATCAACAGCCGACTTATGGCTAAAACATTAAGCAATAATCTTCTCCATAAACCCTAAGGGCCTGTTTACTAACAGAGATATTTTCCTGTTTTCTACTTCTATTTTTTGTTCTCCAATTTTCTGTTTTTATTTTTCAGTTTTTCTATCTCCAATTTTCTGTTTCTATTTTTTAGTTTTCCATTTTCAAATCTGAAAACATATTCATCAATTTTTTCACTCAGTTCTCCAATTCCACACCCTTGACCCCTACCCTTACCACGATCTTACACTCTACGTCTCTACCCATACTCCCCCACAACCCTTCATACCCACCCATACCTACTCGTAGGGGTCGGGGTAGGGAAGTTATGGGTGGGGGTGGGGTAAGGGGTATGGTCGGGGTGGGGTGGTAAGGTATAGGGTAGGGGGTTGGGTGGGGGTAGTTGCTGGGTTAGGGTCGTGGTTAGGGGTAAGGGTGGGGTAGTGGGTAGGGTTTGGGGTAAGGTAGAGGTAGGATATGGAGTTGGGATAGGATGGCGGTAGGGTGGGGCTGAGGTAGGGAAGGGGTAGGGGGTGGGGGGTAGGATGGCGGTAAGGGTGGGGGTAGTGGGTAGGGTTGGGGTTGGGGTAAGGTAGGGGTAGTGGGATAGGATGGCGATAAGGTGGGCCTAGGATCTGGGTGGGGCCGAGGTAGGGGAAGGGTAGGGTGGGGGGTAGGATGGTGGTCGGATGGCGGAAGGGTGGGGGTAGGATGGCGGTACGATGGTGGGGGTAGGATGGTGGTGGGGTGGGGCCGAAGTAGGGGCATGTGGTAAGGGGTAAGGGGTAATATACGGGTGGGGGTAGGGTAGTGTGGGTCGGGGTGGGGTCGAGGTGGTAGGGGGGTGGCGGTAGGGTAGGGTGGATCGGGGTGGGGCCGAGGTAGGGGAAGGGTAGGGTGGGGGGTAGGATGGTGGTAGGATGGCGGAAGGGTGGGGGTAGGATGGCGGTACGAGGGTGGGGGTAGGATGGCGGTGGGGCGGGGCCGAGGTAGGGGCATGTGGTAAGGGGTAAGGGGTAATATATGAGTGGGGGTAGGGTAGGGTGGGTCGGGTCGAGGTGGTAGGGGGGTGGCGGTAGGGTAGGGTAGATCGGGGTGGGGCCGGGGTGGGGTAGGGTCATTATAGTGAAAAATGGGTATGCAGGGTTGGGTTGGGTGGGTAAGGTAGAGTAGGGTAGGGGTAACGGGTAAGGTACGAGGATGGAGGTACCGGAATGGAATCGACATCGGAGCGGGACCGGACCCACCACTAAGTGTAATTATGCAAATTCATTGCAGCGACACTGTAGCATCTGCGTTTTCCAAATTTGAAAAACTAGTAAAAATCACTTCTCCAAATCATTAAGGAAAAGAGAGACATGTCTCATTTTTTCCTTTTTGGAAAACGATTTGGTAAACACGTTTTTCTTTTTTCCTTTCTCCAGTTTTCCAGGAATTTGTTTGGTAAACACGTTTCCTGTTTTCTGTTTTCCAGTTTTCCAGTTTTCTGGAAAACTGGAAAATATCTCTGTTAGTAAACAGGCCCTAAACACTCCTCTAAACCATAGTTCGTTACTTCGTTGTATTAGTGAGAAGAAAAGGGCTATGGCGATAATAATCACATTCCCTGCTTCCTCCGTTGCTGCCCTGCCTCGCAAGTCTGCCACGAAGAAGCTCTCTAACGGCTCACATCCAGTCACCGGAATGCTTCGTCCCCGCCGAGTCTTCGCCCGAAGATCGCTGCCGCGAAAAATGATCACTCCGGTGAAGAAACCGTCGAGGCATGTTATCTCTTCTACCCGCTCTGCCTCGATTTCGTTCTCGGAGGACTGCTGCAACGAATTTGATTTCAATTGCGACAGTTCATGCTCTTCCACAGCTTCTTGCAGCTATCCTCCTAATCCTCGTCCCGAAGAAGATGATGATACAGGAAAGGACGGAAGCGTATATGGTACCACCGGTTGTACGGTGCTCACCGTACAGCCGGTGGCATTTTTGTAATTTATTTGAAATTCGCGTCTCGTATTAAATGAGTATTAAACCACACATAGTGAGCAAGTGACATATTTTGTTGAGCATTAGAAGCATAACATTGAGCATCATGATCTTTGTTTCATCTCTTCGAATTTACTTTCTTTTCCTTATTTTTTTCTTTATAAAAACTTATTAAATTATATCTATAATCAACTCTTATGAACTCCAGTATGTGAATTTAGTGCAATATGATACTTTGGAAATATACATTGGTATGTCATATTACAAATGAGCATAACATGAATACCCGTTGAGCATACATAACTTATAAAATGAGAATTGATATGAAAATCATAAGTACTTTTAATTGAACATCAAGACATTTTTATTGAGCATCAACTTGAAAAGTATGACCAATGATTTTCATTATGCGATTGTGATGAACATCGAGTCTGTTCTTTTTAAATGAGCATAAAATAACACCAAATGAGCATATGTAACTTACAAGATGAGTATGAAAAAAATTAAAAGTCGATTTGTGTATGCTCATTCATTTTGGCCTTATACTCATTTGAGTTTAACATTAGTATGGTACGTTTGAAATGAGTATAAAGAGGTACCAAATGAGCATACATAATTCACAAAATGAGTATAAAAAATTCAAAAGATCATTTGTGTATGCTCATTCATTTTCGGTTGTATACTCATTGGAGTTTTACGTGAAACTCATTTTTAATATGCTCGATATTCATTTGTGTATGTTCATTCTTTTTAAGCTTATACTCATTT